CCAACAGCACGACCACAACCACCCCTCATCTCATCTTTTTTTTTTTTTTTTCCCAGTGCAAAGAAAATGAGTGAGAGCGATAGACAGGAAACCAAATTGCAAAATCACGCTGTAGTCCAGATAGTTGTGTACCAAGCAGAAAGCACAACGCACTGAAATGCCAGCCAGCGTGATTTTGCAATTTGGTTTCCTGCCTATCGCTCTCGCTCATTTTCCTTGCATTGGGGGGAAAAAAAAGAAAAGATGAGATGAGGGGTGGTTGTGGTCGTGCTGTTGGGAGCATTTCAGTGCGTTGTGCTTTCTGCTTGGTACATGACTATCTGGACTACAGCGTGATTTTGTAATTTGGTTTCCTGTCTATCGCTCTCGCTCATTTTCCTTGCATTGGGGGGAAAAAAAAGAAAAGATGAGATGAAGGGTGGTTGTGGTCGTGCTGTTGGGAGCCGAGAAAAGAGGACCACTCCAATATTTACAATGAACCGCTCATATCATCACTCCATGCATAAGCATCACGAGAGCTCACACAAAACCCACACCGAAGTCCATGGAAGGTGAGGCAGAGTTAGCATAGCTCATAATCTCCAATGAATGATCACATATCACAAAGCCAGAGTTCGACTCAGCAGGCGCTTATCAGTGCAACACCATATTACACAGTTTGAGAGTTCGAGTCACCAGCGCTCATCAGCGCCACATCATATTACACGGTTTGAGAGTTCGAGTCACCGACGCTCATCGGCGCTACAACCAGCAGCATCGACCAGGTATGTAACTCTCCTCCCTTCTGTTACATGTCGAGCCTGCACACAGGCCCCATTTGGGGGGCCCGACGGTTGCTGGGGGGCCCCAGGCTGCACGCCCCTCAGACGCACGCCCTGGAGGCCCACGACCGGCCTTAGGGCCGCAGGTTTCGGTTTGAGGCAGCATTCATTCATTCATTTATTTATTTAGTTATTTGCTGTCCTATTTTTGTCCGTTCAGGCGTCGTTTCGGACTTGCAGTTCGTCCGAACAGACCTCGGTCTGTTTGGATAAAGGCCACATTTTTGGCCTGGTGCGGACATAGGCAGGCCTTGCTGGGCCAGGTCCGTTTGCGTTCAGTAGCGGACGTAGTCTTTGTCTATGAGAAAGGGAAGGCCGTAAAATCACTCCCAAAGATAGAAGCAGTCGTTGCTCAGTATCCAAACCTTTTTGAGGAGGCTAGTAGTGTGGTAGAAAGGGAGGTTGTCCATGCAATAGAAGTCGTCCCTGGTAGCAAACTACCTAGAGGGCGGATCTATAGGATGTCTCCTGGGGAGTCGGATGAGCCCCGCCACCTGCTCAAAGAGCTCACAGAGAAGGGATGCTCAAAGAGCTCACAGAGAAGGGATGGATTCGGGCTAGTACCTCTCCTTATGGCGCACCAGTCCTATTCGTTCCTAAGAAGGGAGGTACACTAAGGATGTGCATTGACTATAGGGGCCTCAATGCCATCACCGTTAAGAACGTGGAGCCCCTACCCTGCATTGACAACCTATTGGATAAATTGCAGGGATGTCGGTACTTCACCAAGATAGATCTGAAGTCCGGATACCATCAAATTGCCATTAGACCCGAGGACCAGCACAAAACCGCTTTCCAAACCGGGTACGGTCTGTATGAGTTTGTGGTGATGCCCTTTGGCCTATGCAATACAGCTGGGACATTCTGACACGCAATAAATAGGATCTTTCATGATTACTGAGACAAGTTTATCATCGTGTACCTCGACGATATCCTCATATTTAGTAAGACTGTAGAGGAGCACGCTGAGCATTTAAAAATAGTGTTAGGTCTCCTAAGACAGCACCAATACAAGGTCAACTTGGACAAATGTGAGTTCGGTCGCACCAAGATCTTGTACTTGGGTCATGAAATTTATGCAGATGGATTGAGGTCGGACGATGCCAAAGTGGCCAGCATACGTGACAGGCCCAGACCTCAAACTGTTACTGAGGTCTGATCGTTCTTGGGGATGATGGGCTACTATCGTCCATTTGTCAAAAACTTTAGTACTATAGCTTCCCCGTTAACCGATCTAACCCGCCTTGACACGTCATGGGAGTGGACCGAAGAGTATGAAGCAAGCTTCAAGAAATTGAAGTATTCTTTGACACACTATAAAGTCCTCAAACTTCCAGATCCTGAACAATCCTTTGTAGTGACCACAAACGCCAGCCAATATGGTATAGGCGCGGTCCTTGCGCAAAAGGAGGGGAAGAAGTTAAGGCCTATCGAATACATGAGCAAAAAGATGCCATCTCAAAAGCTAGCAAAGTCCACGTATGAGCCTGAACTCTATGCCCTCTATAGAGCGCTGGTCCATTGGAGACACTATCATCTAGGAAGATTCTTCTACTTGAGATCTGACCATGAGACTGTGCGTTGGATCAAGACTCAGCGTGTACTCTCTAATGCACTCAAAAGGTGGATTCGAGTGATAAACATGTATGATTATAAACTTGACCCAATCAAGGGAGAGTATAACAAAGTGGTTGATCCACTATCGCGTAGGGCAGATTATCTGGGCGCGCTAGTAACTGAGTTTGGAATATCTGAGGATGTAACTCGACCTATGGTGGAAGCCTATCAGGAAGACGCAGTGATGTCAGAGATCCTCCGTAAGTTAGAAGCTAAAGGCAAAGTTACTTCTGATGAATTTACGGTGGTTGATGGCTTGGTGTTTCTTGAAAAGGTTGGGAATAAAAGACTGTGTGAAAGAGAGTCTTTCCGTAGTTTGTTTTTAGGAGAATGTCATGATGCAACTGGTTATTTCGGCTATAGGAAAACATCAGCTAACCTAGTGCAGAGATTTTGGTGGCCCTCCATGATGCAAGATGCTAAAAGATACATTGAAACATGCCAGGTTTGTCAATGAGACAAACCCAGGACTCAGGCTCCGCTTGGGCCTATCAAGACCTTGCCGATTCCTGAAGGTCCTGGTCAGAGTGTGTCCATGGACTTCATGGATACTCTTGTGACCAGCAGGAGTGGAAAGAGACATCTTCGTTATAGTGGACCGGTTTTCCAAGTATGCAAGACTAATCGCTATGCCAGAGACCGCTAAAACTGACTACGTCATCACGCTGTTTATGAATAACTGGGTACGAGACTTCGGTTTACCAAAGTCCATTGTCAGTGACCAGGATATTCGCTTTACAAGTGAATTGTGGCAAAACACTGCCCAACAGATGGGTACTCGACTACAGATGACATCAGGAAATCACTCTGAGTCAAATGGTCAGGCGGAACAAATGAACCGAGTACGGCCGCCACTTGCTAAGGCACTACATCAGGCCAAGTCAGGATGACTGGGACGAGAAATTGCCTCTCGTGGCCAGCCTGTATAAAAACGTTGTGCATAGCGCTACTGGTATGACTCCCAACCAACTGCATCTTGGTTGGAAGCCTAGGTCCGCCCTTGATTTCCTACTCCCTGAGAATCAGCCAACTGCAGCACCTGACAGCATAGAATTTGCTGTCAAGTACGAACAGATGCCTGATACAGGGCAAAGAAGCTTCCCTGTTACGATCCTGGCCAATTTCGAAGTATACATTCACCTGAAAGTACAATGCCATCCAATTGCAAAAAGAAATGAATGAACTTGAGAGGAAAGAGAGGGACAGAAGAAGAAGAAGTGAGAAAGAAGAAGATGATGATGTACTCCAGCATAGACCAATGTCAAGGCTCTTCTTCTTCGCCAACCAATCCCTTCCTCCTTATCTCCTCCCTCTTACTCAAACAAGAAATAACAATAATAATGTTGAATGACTGAACCAGAATCCATGTCCGAATCCCACTTCTACTGCAGGCACAACATGAGGTCCACCATAGCCATGGCCACC